ATCATGTCCTGGCTTCTTCCACTTTAGGTTAGGCTGTTTTTAGCTTCCTTCTGTCTAAAATATTCTCCCCTCTTTCTTCTAGCTAACTTCAGCAAGTCTTTCAAAACCTGGATCCAGCCCACTCTTCTCCCTGCAAGTCTTTAAAGGCTTCCTGTTCTGATTTCAAAGCCTTCCTCTGCTCCAAAATCTTCCCCTGCAGGCCCCCACTCTGGCATTTGCCACTCTGTATTGTCAACTCAAGTCCCCAAACAATAGGCCATCAGGCAGAAGTAACCTGAGGTCAGGGGCTCTGTCAAAATCAGCCTTGCTTCCCAGGCCCTAAACTTTTCATGCACATGGCACTTGGCAGAGTTTTAAGGAATTTATAAATACTAACTCATACAATTCTCATAGTAATACATGGTTATTAGAAGAACACATATAGGTTGAGCATCCAGCATGCGCTGAATACTATTTTAAGCTCGGGGGATTCAGAAGTGAACAATACACACAAACTTTGATGTCAGTGAGCTTATAATCTGTTGAGGCAAATGGATGAGAAATAACAGGTATCTATTTATATAAAAACCCTGAGTGTAATGCCCATCATGTCCGAGGCTTGACCAACTGGAAGGAAGTCAGTCCTGCAGGTGTCGCCTTGGCAACGGCTGCGCCCTCCATGAGCTGTTTCCCGCAAGGGCGAGGTTTGAGGCAGGAACCGGCCCTCAGAGCATGGAGGCATATCTTTATAAAGTTTTAATACATTATATTAGAAGTCGTGGTGGTACTGTTTTACCCACAGCGTCTACAGGAATTGCTGCAAATTTATCTCTCGGTGGAAGGACCTTTCATTCCCAATATAAATGACCAATTCCATTAAATGAAACTTCAATTTTTAGACTCACTATAAACAGTGAAGTTGCTAAAACTATTAAAAAGGCCCGACTTCTCATTATTAATGAATGCACCATGGCATCCAGTTATGCTATAAATGCCATAGACATATTACTAAGAGAAATTATGAATTTGAATGTTGTATTTGGTGGGAAAGTTCTCCTTCTTGGAGGGGATTTTAGACAATGTCTCAGTATTGTACTGCATGCTATGCGATTGGCCATAGTATAAATGAGTTTAAAGTACTGTAATGTTTGGGGATGTTTCAAAAGGTTGTCTCTTAAAACAAATATGAGATCAGAGTATTCTGCTTATAGTGGATCAGGCTACTAGTCTACATATATAAAAGGCTAAGCAACCATCAGACTGTCTGACGGGTAGCTATGACACACACTGACCACCAGGGGGCAGACGTTTGAGTAATGATTCCATTGACTCAATAGATGATGCTGAAAAGAAAAATTTTAATATTTCTATCTGCCCTTTCTCTATAATAGAAGTGTGAGAGATGAAAGGAAATTAGTAAAATGTATATGAAAATAATATATACATTTCTTAATAGTATTACTCCTTGGGGTGCGTCACCCAAGAACCACCTTCTCGCAATCTGGGACCCCTTGGGAAATGTCGGAGAGCCAGTTTCCGCCCGATTCCCACAGGCCAAGCCAAGGGACCCCACCTGCTGGAGGGACCCCGCTCACTCCACAGACACGCTTCGTGCCATGGTGCCAGTGCCCCAGGTGCAGCCAGCCGGGGAGGGACCATGGGAAGTTGGCTCCAGGGTGTGTCAGGCCAGTCTCGCCCAGTCCTGCCCTGCTGGCCACCTTCTAATTAATTTCCTTTCAATGTGCACAGATCTGTGCACCCAGGCACTAGTATAATATAATGTGAGGTAGTGAGAGGAGCTATAAAGAAAAATACAGCTAGACAAAAGGATGAAATGTGACACAGGTACCATTTTAGATGGGATGGTAAGGCAAGGCCATGTGAGGAGGACATCTGAGCAGAGACCCAAGTAAAGTGAGTGAGTGAGCCACATGGATAGGTGGGTAGGGCTGGAGGGGTGGGATCAGGTAGAGGAAACAGCAAGTGCAAAGGCCCTGAGACAAGAACAGGCTCAGCCTGTACAGGGCATGAGGGGTGGAAAGTAGGAGGTGATAAGATATTTGAGCTGAAAGTTTAGGTCAGACAGCCTTTCAGGCCATCCTGCGGACCCTGGGTATATTCACTGGTAGGTGTGGAGCCTGGTGGGACCTGATTGGACTTATCTTGTATTTATTTATTTTTTAAAATATATTTTTATTGATTTCAGAGAGGAGGGGAGAGGGAAAGATAGAAACATCAATGATGAGAGAGAATCATTGATCAGCGCCTCCTGCATGCCCCACACTGGGGATCAAGCCCTCAACTCAGGCATGTGCCCTGACTGGGAATTGAACCGTGAGCTCCTAGTTCAAATTGCCTTTCAACCACTGGGCCACGCCGGCCAGGCTGGGCTTATCTTTTAAAGGATCATTGGCTGCTGATTAGAGAACGTGGGCTATAAGGAACAAATAGAAGCAGATCGAGCAGTGAAAAGGTGAATGCTGTGGTCCAAACAGTGATCATGGTGACTAGGAATTCTCACCATGGACTCTGGACACACTTTTAAAGCAGAGCAGACAGGATCTATGGAGGCCTGGTTGTGGAACTATGACAGAGAGAAGTCCTGCATGGCTCCAAGGTTTTGGTCAGTTGGGCTGGTAGTGCCATTTGTTGAGATGGGAATGACTGAGGGAGAAGCAGTTGGGGGCTGGGGGAGGACTGGAAATGAAGTGTTGTGTTTTGGATCCATTTGGTTGAGTTGCTACCAGGATTCAGTTTTGTCTCCTATGAAATGGAGATAATGTTTGTTTTATCCATTTCTAATGAGAATCAAATGTGATCATTGTTTTTTGGTATTATGTAGATGGAAGGTTTATTCTATTTATTCACATTGACGCTAGGGGTAGGGTTCCCTTTAAAAGAACACAAAACTCCCTCTTATTGGCTAGATATTGCTGGCCTTCTACAACTGTCCCCAGATCAAGAAATGATGTTGGTAACAGACCTGCTCTCCATGCTTATTTAACACTTATATGGTGTTTACTATGTGCCAGACCCTTCTAAGGTCTTTATAAAAATTAACCCACATAATTCTCTAAAATCATTTGGGGTGTAGACCATCATTACCCGATTTTACAGGTGAAACTGTGGCACAGAGAGGTGAAGAAACTTAAGGTCCCACAGCTACTAGATGGCAGAGCCAGGAGTCAACGCTGGTGCTCTGGCTCTGCTTCCAACCTCAATGCCAAGCTCCACATTCCCTGGGCTCTGTGAGCAGCGTCATTGCTGACATGTGTGTTGAGGAGGTGCCCGTGTCTAACTCTATTGCCTGCAGCCCTGCCCCAATAGGCATTCCTGCTTGCTTTTTTTGCAAACTGCTCAAAAGAAGCCTGTCGGTGTTGAAGGCAACACCTCCTTTGTTCTTAGACCTTCCCAAGCCGCTGGTAGCCACCCAGAGCACAGACTGTCCTCTGTGCCTGTCTTCTTATGCCTGAGGTCAGCCTCCTCCCCACATTGCCACACACAAGCTTTTTTTTTAATTTGGTGTTTTGCTCTCTCCATGTGCCCTGCCTCATGCAAGTTGTTACAAGTTATTTTAAAGGCTTGCAAGTACTTATCACGTTTTCCACTCATGATTTGAAGCAGACCATGTGCCATACTGAGCTGAGTGGTGAAGAGATAACATGACAGGACCCCAGGTCCCCCGCCTTTCACTGTTGGGTGCCCCTCCCAGCACCAAGTGGACACAAAGCAGGCATTCAATGCATATGCATTCATTTATTTAGCAAATGTTTATTGTCTACTACATGCCAGGCAGGCAGTGAGATAAGGGCTGAGAAAATAGCGGGAAACCAGACATGTGCAGGGGGGACTTTGGCAAGGACCCAAGAAGAAAAACGGGTACTAGGAAGGAGGTGGAGGCTAGTGTGGCATCTGGTAAGAATGACTCCTAGGTCTCTAAACAGAGATGCAGACACACATGTGCGACAGCCGCTTCCGGGACCCCTGCCCCGTAGTGGCCACTGAGTACAAGTGTCTAGACGGGGGCCGGCCTCGGGAAGAAAGCGGAGCTTGTGGAGCTATAGATTGGATGGAGGGCGGCTGGGCCAGGAGTGCGCGAACAGAGGGGTGGCGCACCACTGGAGCGGGCTTTTTTAGAAGGAGAGAACTCTCCAGTTCTCCGCTCCTCTGGAGCCTGGATTCTAATCCCAGGCCAGTTGCTTACCTGTTGTGTGTGACCTTGTCCAAGTCACTAAACCTTCCCAAGACTGTTACATCATCGGTTAAATGGTGAGAGGTTTAGAGGAGAATGCCTGGAAAGCTTCCCTGCACGGTTCCCCGCACGCAGAGAAAGCTCCCGGAACAGACGCTGTCATTACCCGCTGCTCACACCACCTTGGATGCCCTGGCCTCCTCCGGCAGGAACCAGCGGCGGTCTTTTCTGCGACCCGCGGCGCGTCGGTGCGGACGCGCCCTGTCTTGATAAATGTATTAGCTTGCTTGGGGCGGGGTTTGGAAAGAGGCGAGGAGGGGAAGGAGGTGGTGGAGGGCAAAGAAAGGAAGAAACCGAGGGGCCGGAGGCGAGTAAGGCGGGACCAGGGAGGAGCTGGGCTGGGTTCCTGGGCCCGG